TATATATATATATATATTTTATATTTTATATATATAAATAATTATTTTTTCTTTTTATTTATATGTATATTATATAATTATATTAATATAAACATAATATTTTTATTTCTAGTTTTTATTTTTATTATCGAAAATGTTTTATTTATAAACACATAAAGCTTTAAATTTAAATATAAACTTTTATTTATTTTTTATTATATAAAAATATTTTTTTACTTAATTTAAATAAATTAAATTAATAATTATTAAATATTAATACTATATTTTTTTTTATAATAAAATAACATATTGTTTCTTTTATCTTTATTAATAATTGAAAAATGAAAATACAATTATTACTAATTTTATATATTTATTTTTATTAATATTATTTTTTATTTTTTATTATTTAATAACATTAATAAAATATATATATAAATATTAATATAAATCTATTTATTAATTTATGTCTTTTTATATTTATTAAATTATATATATTTAAAGAGAATATATTTAAATTAATTTATCTTTTAATATAAAATATTTAAATCTTTTATAAATAATTTATTATAAAATTCATTATACTAAAGTTATATAAATTATTATAAAAATATATAGTTAAATATATTAGAAAGTATAAAAATATTATAATAAATAAAAAAGTTTTCAAAAATAATTTAAAGTTAATTATAAATATAATAATATATATATTTATAATTCTTTAATAATAATTTGGAATTAATTAAAAAAATAAAGTTTATCTATATTAAAAAAAATTATATTTAAATTATTTTGTTAATAATTTTATAATTATATAAATTTACTTTTATAATAAATAGCTGCTATTTAAATTGTTTTATATAAATACATAAGTAAATATATATGAAATATTTTTTATTTTTTTTAATTAATGAAATTTTCAAATGTAATTTATAATTAAAAGCATGTATAATAATTATAAAGTTATTTAATTTAAATAAGCATATATATATATATAAATTTATATTATTTTTTTTAAAAAAATAGTGAACATTATATTAAATAAAAATATATAATATTATTTACGTTTAAAAATATAAATTATTAATTACGTATAAAATAATATTCTATTTCTTAATTATTATGTTTAATAAAATTTTATTTATATATAAAATAAAATATAACAATAACTAATAAATATATAAAAAAATAAAAACTAAATTATAGTAATAAAAATAATGTATAAACAATAAACACTAATTAGTATCTTAATATTATTTACTTTCACCAATTTTTAAAGTCTATAATAATAAAAAAATGAAATAAAATGTCCTTATTAAGATTGTGAATAATGTAATTAATTAGGATGCACTTAATATAATTAAGGTTATTATTTAGACTAATATTATAAAAAATGTGTTTCATGCCATTATATATAAAGTAATTGTTAAACTTGTACGGAAGATATTTGCCTCGAATGTCTTCCTGGGTTTAAATAAGATAGCATATTAAATGCATGTATTTTATAATCTTATAGTGTTGATAGAAAATATGAAGAAATATGCCCTTTTGAATGCTAAGAATGTAGTTAAGATGGAGAATGCACCTAATGTAAATTAGTTTAATATTTCGATGAAAGACATAAATAATGTGAATTTTGTCTTAGTACATAATTAAATTGTAATGTATGTTCGGAATAAGGTTGCATTTAATGTAGTACTATATATTAACTATATTATAATTAAATAACATGTGTTAGATTTCCTTATAATTTTTTAAAAAATTAATTATAATGTCCTTAAGAATGTTAATAATGTAGTGCAGAAGGTGTATGCACATAATGTAAATATGTTTTTTATTTCGATTAAAAAAGTTAATAATGTGAACTTTGTAATAATAAATTAAGTAATTGTCATGTTTGCACAGAAAAAGCTTGTATCGAATGTCTTCCTGGATTTTAATTAGATAATGTTTCAGGATCATGTACTTTAATACGACATGAATAAAATGAAATATAATGTCCTTATGAATGTTTACAATGTGATTAAGATGAAGTATGCATTTAATGCAGTTACGGTTATTATTTACAATAATAAAATTAATAATGTTTTCTTTGTGTTAATTATTTTAATAATTGTTTAAACTGTAATGTAGATTTTTGCATCGAATGTCTACCTGGATTTTAATTAGATATTAATGCAAAATCATGCACTTTTATATACAGTGGTGATGGATAAGATCAAATATAATGCCCTTAAGATTGTGAATAATGTAATTAAGTTGGAGTATGCACTTAATTTAAATCAGTTTATTATTTGAATTATTAAACATAATAATGTTTTCTTTGTCTTAATAAATTTAAAAATTGTCTGAATTGTAATGAAGATGCTTGCAAAAAATGTATTCCTGGATTTTACTTAGATAAAATTTCAAAATCATGCAAAAAATTGAATAATGGAATTATGCATGTAGTTTTAGGAAAAAAATATATTATAATAGCTTTTAAGGAGTATTAGTTTTTGTAATTAGTTAAACTTTATTCGGATTATTAATATGAGAATTTTTCAAATAAAGCAATTTAAAATTTAATATCTTATTAATATAATAATATTCTTTTTATAATTAACTAACTTAATAAAAAATGTAAAAATGTTAAAAATTATTTAATGATTAATTGTTTTAAAAAAATGAATTTAATAAAAAATTATATTAGGCTATTATTTTTTAATTAATCGTAGATAAATATATATAATATTTAATATATATAATAATTTATAAATAAAATTTATAATATAAAAATTTTATAATAAAATTAATAAGAATTTAATTTTTTAAATATAAGTTGAAACTTTAATATTATTTATTATTTTATACCAAATATTAAAAATAATTATTAGATAAAATAAAAAAACAAATCTAAAGTATTTAAATTCATTAAAAATTATAAATTATTATTATAAAAAAAAAAGAAATTTTGAATTAAACCTAAAAATAATTAGTTAAAATAAAGTATTTGATTATAAGATTTTATATAATATTTTATTAATTAATATATATTATAATTTAATAATTTAAAAAATATCCAACATAAAATAAATATTATAAAATTTTTATTATATTTTTTTTAACTATATTATTATTATTATATTTATTATTATTATTATTATTATTATTATTATTATTATTTTTTTATTATTATTATTTTTATTTCTATACAATTCTTTTTTATAACAATAATTATAAAATAATTTTTTTATTTTTATTATAAATTATTAAATATATTTTTTATTTTTATACCAATATTTATATATATATTTTTTTTGATAATCAATTATTATTTTATTTTTAATGTTTAATTATTTTTATTTTTTTTATTTTCTATAAACATATATATTTTTTTTAAGTTTTTTATTTTTTTCTTGTTTTTTAATTTTTATCTTTTAATTATAATTTATCAAATTCAAGATTTATTTTATTTAAAAATCTATATTTTTTTTATTAAGGTTTCATTTATTGTTTTTAATGTTATTTAAATAAACAAAATAATAAATATATAAATTACAAATTTTATACTCTTTATAAAAGCCTTTTGGGTTTTTTAAACTAAAGTCATTATTTAAACAAACTTAATTTAGTATTTAAATGAATCTAAATAAATTAAATTATCATTATGATATTAATTATTAAAATAAAGTCATAAAAAAAAGTTATATAATATAAATAATATTTAATTATTTAAAAAAATTAAAAAAGTTTATATAAGATATTTTTATTTATTTATATTTCTTTTTTTTTTAAAAAAATACATTATTACTTTATTCAGTATTTCTTTTTATAAATCTTTTTAATATTTCCTTTATAAAAATGGGTAAAAATAATATATAAAACTAAATTCGAAATAAAAAAAAATACTCGAAGAATAAAATTATAAAAAATATCAGATATTTTAAAAATTTATATATCAAGAAAAGAAAAATTCCTAACTTAACTTATATAGAATTTAATTTA